TGTGCTGTCTGTCTGTTACACTGATCAGGTAAGAGGGAGAGCTACAGATTTTACCTCAGACAGAGCACAGAGGTCTCCTCCCCCTCCACCCCAAGCACCCAGTAGCTCTAAAAAGCTGGTCTGGAGTCCACCCAGGAACAAAGTGGGTTATGACACAGTGGTCTGTAGCTTGAAGGGAAATCAGAAATCATCTCTCTCTCATTTTATGCAGATTCTAATAAAAATAGAGCAAATGCACGTCCAGCAGTGGGAAGTTTATTCCCCCTGCGCCACATCCCACTTGTTCCCAATTGTGCCCCAGCCCTTATCCATCTCATAAACTCATTTTGCTCTTGGTTCACTTCATCTGATAGCAGATTTTTCTTAATTGGCAAGAGAAACTTGTATGTTGAGCTCATCATGCATGCTACAGTCTGTTTTTACAGTGCCTAGAAATAACATATTTAAACACACACAAAAGTCCTCAAGTTCAGTGCAGGATAGTTAACATATCCATAAAGGTTATATTTCACAGAGGCTGTAGCATAGTGTTGCCAGCATTCTCAGCACTGAACCTGGGGTGGTCTTTCCCAAGAGAGACACCCCCCAAAACAACCTCTGAACCCCCACAAGCAGTGCCCTATGAAGCCAGGCTTGGTTTAAACAGTGGCTTTTTGCTGGGAGGCTAGGAGAACCATATCTTGGCTCAGGCAAAAGAATTCTTCAGGCTGGCTGCAGGGCCAAGCATTCCCCATGCAAGCAATCCCCCTCCCACTCTTTTCTCCTGTCAGCTTAGTCCAAAAAGGACTAAGAAAGGGCAAGTGCCTGCCCTTGCCTTAGGCATCTTCTGCTGACAAAATGGCTACTCTTTTGACTATCAAATGTACAGGCAGGCAGATACAAAAACCTCTGATCTGTGCTATTGTCATGAATGAAGTGTGTTGCATATTTCCACCCCCATCTCCTGTTCCACCCATGTCAGGAAGTATCTTTGGAATAATCTTCTCATCCCTGTCTCCATATAGTTGTCTAAGATATCTGCATTCTTACACCTATGCCAGACCTATCAAGGTAAACATTATCTCTTCATGTCTAGTGAATGGTCAGCCATTCAGGTTCACCCTGCCACACATTAAGAAACATCACTCCTTTTGTCTGGCACTAGGGGAAACGCCAGACCACTCTATTGTTCCACAATGGACACCCCCAGTACAGTCATCCAACACCTGTCATACAGTCATACAACATCTAACATCTATTGTTAAATCCAGACCCTGCCTCTCTAGAAGCTCATTGGTCACGTCTAGGCCTTGCCCATCCTGATGCCACACACCCCTGGGACTCATCATTGGTTCAGGAAATCTATTGTTTTCACTTGAGACCAGTCCCCAGGACCGCCCATTGGTCTGCATTGTCTTTCAGTGGGTATATCCCAGCGAACACATGACCTCAGACTGTGTGTTTTCTGCCATGATGCAAAATGGCAGGCCACCCCTGAAACCCTCTGGGTTTTGGGCCACCATCCTTTCTTCATGGATCTCTGCACATCTGGACAGGGAGTATCACCCCATATCCCCTCCATTAGCCATCAGTCACCTCTGCTTCCTTAGGTCTGCATTGTGTGCGTGAATGTTTAATTATTGTTTGTGCGCTTGAGAATATTTAGTAAAGAAATCCTTATTTTAGCCACCCAGTCTCTTTGTCTATTCCTGGGTTCTTGGGAATTCTAACTCTGGTATACACAGGTCTGATCCTATAGTTTTGCCAATTGCATATTAATATCATAATTCCCCAATCTTTTATTAAATAATGGAGCAATATGGCTAACAATAGCCCAGCTAGTCAGAAACCCAGGAATAGGTAGGAGGCATGGCAGAGTGAACAGCCAGTCTGTGGGTTGTATACATTGCCTGAGCTCTGGCCCCTTCGGGTCTTGGATCAAGGTCCAGGGGAGCTGGGGAGCCAAGAATATTTTAATGAAGTGGCTGGGTTCAGGGAGAGGTGGGAAATGAAAGGATACAGAGGTGAAGGTGTAGAGTATCATGTTGTGGCAGGAAGAGACAGGACAGTCGCTGGCACTTAAAAGACATGTATAAGAACAACAGCCAGGGTGTCTGGAGAGCAGGTGTCTTGGGAGGCCCTTTTTTTTTTTGCTCATGGCATTAATGAGCCCAAGTGCAAAATCTTCAGTTTATAATGGCTGAGTATCAGCTATGCTGTTACTTTACAACAGCAGCATGTTAATACTAAGGAAGCATAAATTGTACAATTGATTTTAGAAGTCATGAGAAGGGATGTGTTACTAACTGCAATGTTACACACAATTACTACAGTCTATTGATATTGATGGGTTTTGACAGGAGTAACACTACATAGAATTGCACTGTAATAATCCCAATATGTTATCCAATTCGAGTGTTGGGTATTGAAGCTTTTTGTTGTTATTTTTGTTACTTGTATATTTTACCTCCACCCACCCACCCTGGCATGGCATTGATCATCCAGAGAACCTCAAACAGTTGCTTGCAGTAGCAGCAGTTTAGCAAATACCAGAGAGACTTTGTGTGGTCCACCAGTTACACTCCGTGATCTCCACTGCAGGGTCTATTTTGTTGGCTGTTGGAGATGCCGGGATGCTCCTTTCGGGTTGTGCAGTGCAACATTGTGCCAGCCCTATTCTTCTTACTTTTCTTCAGTACTCCCTGTGAGGGATGGCTGTGGATCAACCATTCCCTCTGTTCAATCTGTATTAATTGTTTGGTATATTTGAGCACCTCAAAAGTATGTGTTTAAACTTTAAAATTACAAAGTTAAGGCATAAGTAGCAGACACTGTTAATCCCTAGGATGTGTTAATTGTAGAAAACACCAATATTCATGAAATAAGTTATACATGAACTAAGTATACAGATGATGTTCAATACTTCTGTTTTTATCATGATAATTAGAAGGATTCTACCAATGCCTTGGTTGTGTATAGGTCTTCCTTCTTTTTTGCTGGTTCCTGAAAAGCACAGAGTTAAAGTTGTTAAGCACTCAGATTAAAAATAAGGGTAGCACTATAAGTGAGCATGTAGATTTTGGATTGTGAGGACTTTCAAACTAAAAGTCCTCTAAAAGTTGGTGAGGACTTTTAACTAAAGGAATGTTTTCTCCTATGATTTGATTCCCTAGGCTTGGAATCATGTAGGCTTTTGATTCCCTAGGCTTGGAAAAGCTTAGAAAATAAAAAGCAGACATTACTCTGCTAAGTGCTATGGCAATTAACATTTTCCTTTACTTAACTGCTAATGGTGTTCGTGGGGTGTGTTTTATATTGTGTTTTTCTATATGAATAAAAGTCAAAATCAGGATAAATTCTGTGGCCTGCAGCTCCAAGTTAATGGCTTGTATCCAATGATGTGTCAATGGAAAGCTGTATTGATGCAAGACAGAGGGAGGTGAATTTCACCGTCTTCCTCCACCTCATTGTTGTCCCGTAACCTGGATAGCCTGTCTTCCAGACTGGTCCTCCAGCTCTAGGAATGATCTTTCCAGGGCGTCAGAAAGGACTACTGGGGCAAGGAGAATGTGAAAATCCCAATATTCTGTCAACACTTCTTTGATTACCATCCAAAAAAATATACTTCAGTAGATTTTTAGCAATTAAAAAAGACGAATTTTAGCCATGTTCTAGAACTGTTTCATGCATGTTTATGGCCACCTGATCCTGAATGCATTCAGTGAGAGGGACCCCTGCATGAAAACCATATGTAGACCACTTTCTGGCATCAGATTCCATGTGTACAGCTTCAATTGCAAGAACCCACCCCTAGTAAGTTGCTTCTCAGTGTCCGTGCCTCCAATTGATGTTTGGTGTAGTGGTTTGGTGTAGTGGTTAAGTGCGCGGACTCTAATCTGGGAGAACCGGGTTTGATTCCGCACTCCTCCACTTGCACCTGGCTGGATAGCCTTGGGCAAGCCGTAGCGCTGATAAGGAGCTGTTCTTGAAAAAGAGCAGTTTCTGTCAAGAGCTCTCTCAGCCCCACCTACGTCACACGGTGTCTGTTGTGGGGAGGGGGAGGGAAAGGAGTTTGTAAGCCGCTCTGAGACACCTTTGGGTAGTGAAGGGTGGGGTATAAATCCAATCTCTTCTCTTCTTCTAAGTTCTAAAAGTGCTGTCGGATCAGCCTTGAGACTTGCTGCACCAAATATGTAAGTGCTCATGTTGAGGTCTGTTTTGACTGAGGCATCAGTGACTATGGGTAAGCCACATTCACAAATAGGGATGTCAGTACCCAGGTGGGGACGGGGGATCCCCCATTTTTTGGGCTACCCCCAGATGCCGGCCAGCTTTCAAGCAGGGGCCGCCCATGCCTTCCCTGCAAGTAGCAAACTTGCCACTTGTAGGACAGGTGCACACAGCACCAGCTCTTTTCAGGTGGGCCCCGCCTTTGCCTGCCCTGCTAGCTGTGAACTCACCACTTGCAGGGCAGGTGCGTGCAGCGCCCACTTCCCCTCCAACCATTTAAAGGGAACCTTTCCTTTAAATGGTTGGGGGAAAGTGGTGGGGCATGCGTCCATGGTGCTCCATCCCTGACATGATGACATCACTCTGTGTGATGTGATAAGAACATAAGAGAAGCCAATGTTGGATCACTCCAATGGCCCATCCAGTCCAACACTCTGTCACACAGTGGCCAAAAATACCAGGTGCTATCATGTTGGGGATGGCCCCTTCCCCTCCCGGTACGCCCCCCACCATGGAGAAGATTGGACCTGGCAGCCCTATTTGCAAAACATTGCATTAAGCTGTTGTGGTGGTGACCTCAAGGTAGAATTGCAAGCAAGTGTTGTTGAACAAGTGTTGATGGTGTGTGGAACCATTCTGAAATGATACTGATTACTGAATTTAATCAGTGCTCTTCAAACCCTGCATGGGGTAGAGCACTTTTCAGAGAATAATTTCAATTTCTTTTAAGCCTCTTGTGACAAAACCTAGGGAAGTAATTGAGAACAATTTTTTGTGTTTTGTTTTTCAAGCACTTTTGTGCAATGGAAAGTTTCACAAGCACTTGCAAGAGATTTTTGTTCCCTTGGTCATCCGCTACATTGATCTCATGGAATCATCCATTGCCCAGTCCCTTCACAGAGGTCTTGAACAAGAATCATGGCAGCCTGTCAAGTAAGTGTTTCTGGAAGGCCTAAGCCAAATTCACCTGTAATGTCTTGAGTCCTGATTTGGTGTATGGTACTCCTCAACTGACCTTTTTACTATCTATTTTTATTGTACTCCTGCATTGTTTATTTCTTCACAGGACCATCACCAACAGTCTTCCCAATGTAGCTCTTCCAAAAGTTCCAAGTTTGCCTCTTAATCTTCCACAGATACCTAGTTTTTCTGCACCAACCTGGATGGCTTCTTTATATGACTCCACGTGTGTATTTTTGACTGATCTTTAAACATTGAGTGTGTGTGTGTGTGCGTGTATGTCAGCTCTGCATGGCCTTGCTGGTGTCATGTACAACTGTATTTGGATTGCATGGTATTTGTGATCATTTGGTCGGAAATTACAGCTTTTTGGTTGAAAGCCAAGCATGGAATGTCATTGGGTTGTGCTTTTTGGTACGTAAAATCTCAGTAGGATGTTACTTAAAATTAACTAGGCAAAGGTTTGTTGTAGTACACTTAGCAGTCATCACCCTTAATTACATAATTGCTCTTATTTAGTTAATAAGTAGTGTGGAGACACTTTAAATTATTGTACTGGAGGGTTGTTTGTTGGGGTTTTTTTAAATGTTGATCTCACTTCGTGTTTTGGCATGTTGTTCCTAATCCACTGCATGTGCCAAAGAATTTTGAAAACAGTATCCACAATTCATTGTGTTTTTTATGAGATTATACCAATCTCTTTCTTTTTAATAGGACACCTAGCATTAATAAGAGTTCAGCACCTGCTTAATTAAATTGTGGCTGTCTGAAGTTGCTTCTTTCTTTTTGTTAAGGGAGGGGATCAGAATAGCTTTTCATACTTTAAATGAACAGCTCCACAGTTATGCATTACACAGTATAGCAGAGGACAATTATTAGGGACTTTTAAAGGGGCTACTGTCACAAGGTTTTCCATTAACATTCTGAGAAAATGGGTTTACGGCATTATGGTTCATCTTTTATACTTAAGGCTTAGTCAGTGTTTGTGGTAGATATACGAGCACTATTGAGATCTGGTTCCATTACCGTTTGTGCTTATACCACCAGATTATTTTTGCTTGTTATTATTGCTCTAGGACTTCATAGCTGCAATAACAACTATGGGACTGTTCCAAAAGTCAAAATGTTTATAGTTGTACATATGTTTGATTTGATTTCTAAGTATATGGTATGTGGCCTGGTAATGAGGGAATTTTTCACTCTGCCCTTGTTATGGACTAACCATTGCCTGATGAAGGTTAGACTCATGCAGGGCTCTTTTTGTAGAAAAAGCCCAGCAGGAACTCATTAGCATAATAGGCCACACCCCTGACAGTGTAGCTCATTAGCATATTAGGCCACACCTCTGACAGCACAGCTCATTAGCATGTTAGGCCACACGCCCATGTTACCGGAAGTGTGGTCATCCAGCCACACGTACCTTTTGCTTCTTATTCTGTTTACCTTGTTTTGGTACTTCTTGGCACTGTGAAAAATTTTCAGTTTTTAAAAATGTAACAGATAAAATATACTAAACATTCCCAAGGATCACAATGAGCTCCTTGTAGTCACTACCCAAACTGGAAGCCAGGTTCTTATAACAGCAACATTATCACACAACCTTGAGAAAGTGTGCGTAATGTTTCCTTAACTGTGGCCATTGAGCTCAATCTGTTGTAGGTGTGTAAGATTCAAAGTTATCTTTCCCCAAATTACTTTCCTGTTCATTTCTATGGGAAAGGTAGCCCTAAATATAACTAGGGCTGTTACAATGCCTTCCAGTTTGGCTCAATTTCTATTCAGCAGCCACAAGCAAGGAGCTGATTGTTTTGTGGGCTGTTCATGAGCAGGTCAAGTTTGTTCAGTGGTTTACTTCATGACAATATTCAGACAGAACAAAACAGTGTAATCAGCAGCATTTCACACATGCATGTTTTTGCAAAGCTTGATGGGAAGAACTGAATTTCTCCTCCTACCAAAGACATGTTGTAGTGTGCCAGTCAGTTTTATAAAGAGTGAGCAAAGCAGGCATCCCACCCATAAACCAGTAAATGAATAAATGCTGGGGGGGGGGGGTTAAAAAAAATCTTACTCTTCGAAGTCCATCTAAATCTATGTTTGCCCATCTTTTTGGATCATCAGCATTTAAAGTATGTGTGCTTTTACAAAGCCCAATGGGAGTTGCAGTTTTCATACACACACACACACAAACATTTTTTTAAGTTTCTTTTAGCTATTTTAGCTATTTTAAAATTAAGAATTAATTGTGCACAAGTTCCCCCAAACATGAAAAAGTACATTTTAAAAGCAAGGACCCTGTCTGTCATATGCTGCCGGGCTGCGCTTGTTCACTTTGTTCACTAAACTTGTTCAGTAAACTGGATGTTACACAGATGCAGGGGTCCCCAACATGGTGCATGAAAGTGGGTGGGGCCAGGGATGGCTTTTGCCCAACAAGGCTTCTGAATGGCTACTGGAGATCTGATTGGCTGTGCAGATTTTTTTAAAATGTAGCTTTAGCAGCAGCTGTCACCACCAGCACAAGAACCTTCAGTGTGTAACTGAAGGTAAGCTGCAGCAGTCATTTTGTTGCTGGCTCTCCTTCCTGTGGCAGCCATTTTGTGGCTATGCCCACCACGCTGTGTGAGAATTCCAAAGGTGCCCACAGTCTCAAAAGGATTGGGGACCCCAGGGTTACCCTATCTAGAACCTGTACTACTGTTTTCCCAGAAAAATTCTGGTCTGCTTCTGTTATGAAAGAAATTGAACTCCTCCTAAGTTAAAATGACACAGTTCTCAAACTAAGGACAAAGTTTAAATTAACATTTTACATAACAGCAAAAGCCTTGCCAAAAATCGAGTGCTTCAAGAAGGATACCATCAATAGTTGGAAGAATGTTCCTATCCATCCTCCTTTGTGCAGGTAAAAATGTGGAAAGTTTCTGTTCTGCTTTGTATAAAGAAAATACTTATGGGACTAGTCCAATGGAATCCGTTCACCCACAGACCTGCGGATTTTTCTTGGGAGCAGCACAGATTGCTTGGCTCCAGATCAACCAGTCTGATTAGAAAGATCTTTATTGGCGTCCCTCCCTGGACATCTTCACTTTCAGAGACAAAGGAATATTTATCACGAATGGAGCCTTTCCCATCCTCGTGTGCTGAATATTAACCAGATTCTCATATCTATTAGACTGTTGTTTTAACTGATAGCTTTTAGGTATTAAGTTACAACAACTTATTATCTGATTTAAATGCCACTCTGTAATAGATGGCACACAGAGCAAAGTTTGAGTCCGCTGGCCAACAAAGTTTTATTCTGGGTATAAGCTTTCATGTGCATGCACACTTCTTTTGTGTGCATGCACAAAACCCCACACCATAGGTTTTCTTACATTTATAGAGATCAGCTGGTTACATTTTTTTAAAGCCCCCCAAAAGCAGTCCCTCACTAAGCATACCGCCAACAGTTACAAAATGAAGGTTAAAACTAGGAAGAGCTGCAGTTTTATTATTTACTGTTTTAGTTAAAACCTACCTCAAGCAGGGTCTTTGGAGATACCTCTTAACAATTAAGAAGATAATAAACAAATGATGTGTCTTTCCCCCAGGTAATTGTTTTGGTATATGGTTAGAAGAATGGACTGCAGCATGTGAGTTCTAGTCCTGTCTCCTCTGGAAAGTTTGTTGCTGCTGAGAGAGTTTTGCTCCTTGATGAGATTCTCACCTTCTCCCTCCTGTTTCTCACATAAGTGCTTTTTTCCACTGAGGAGCTTTCCTTTGCCAAATGATTTGTGGAGAGCCCCTGACCTGGTCCAACATGTCTCCTTCCACAGGCGGTGCCGCAGGTGAAGCGCCCAGCAAGGAGGGAGGAGGGAGCCAAGGCCTTCCCACCCACCACCCACTCGCCTCCCTCGATGGGGCTGGGCGCCGGGCCACGCTGCGAGGAGGGAGCCAGGGCCTTCCCACCCACCACCCACTTGTCTCCCTCAATGGCACCGGCCACTGGGCCACACTGCAAGGAGGGAGCCAGGGCCTTCCCACCCACCACCCGCTCGCCTTCCTCAACGGCGCCGGGCTGCGCCACCCACTCACCTCCCTCGATGGCACTGCCCCAGAGAAGACGGAGGGCGCCCAGGGCCTACCCACCACCTGCCTGCCTGCCCACCCTCCCACCTCCCCCGACATTTACCTTGCCTGAGGAAGAGTCCTTGATGCAGGGAGGCGTGGCAGAGCAGCAGCAATGGAGCAGCAGTGTGTGCACGTGCTCTACGTGCTTGCTGCTGCTTTTTCTTCTGCCAGGGGTGGGGTGGAGAGGGGTGGGGCAGGCTCAGAAGCCAGCCGGAACACCGTTCCGGGGCATTTCGCCCCAAAAATAGCCCTGGACTCATGGATGCTGGAAGCCTCCAAAATGGGGGAGGCAGTTAGGATGGTCCACCCCAGGAGGCTGAGGGATCTAAAGAGCTTGCTAATGTCTCTTGAGGACAGAGGCATAGCCATGATTTGGGGGGGGGCATTTAAAAAAGTCATGGGGCAGGTGGGGAGGGAGCCCTGTTGCTACCACTGCTGCAGCAGCCATCACCGCAATTCACAACATGGATGAAAACCAGGAGATGGGGCTGCTGAATTGACCACCCTGCTGCTTCCAGTACTTTGCTTCTTTCTCATGCCCCATCCAGCGGCATCCCATCTGGCAGTGTGGGAATGGAGGGCGGGGCTGGCTGGCAAGACTGCAGGGTGAGGGCAGGGGTGGGACTCCAGCAGGCAGGCTCAGCTCCAGTAGGCAGGCTCATTGATGGTGATGGTGCGGCTGTACACTGCAGCACAAAAAAATAAAATAAGGATCTGGGGGGGGCTGGGCTGGATGGGAACTCATGGGGCCTTGGCAGTAAGTCGGGGGGGCTGGACTCCAAGAGGCCCCACTGTAGCTATGGGCCTGCTTGGAAATTTTTTACTCAACAAGGTTTGTGCTCCTGTCAAAACCCTGACCTGTTGAATTTAGAGATGACATGGATAGTAGATATGATGTCTGTGGAGCATCGTCTACCTTTATGTGGAACCCGCAAGTTCCCTTGGTTTCCATAGGAGCTTGGGGCAATGAAATGGTTGAGTGGACTTTTAAAGCACAAGTAGAGGACAGCTTGTAGTAAATGCAGCCAAATACAGATGAGAACATGTTATCATGCCTACTCTCTGGTAGAAGTGGTGACAGGGACAAAGTGGGCTCTTGCTGCTTCTCATTGCATC